GCGGGAGAGTGTACCGCTGTAGATAGAGGGGGAAAGGTGATGGAAATGTTGGTGAAGATGGCGGAGGTGTTGGTGTAGATAGCGGTGATGATGATGGCCCCCGACGGCGTTCCGGCGCCACCAGAAGCGAGGGGGAGAGAGCCCCCCTCCTTCTTCTTCTTCCTTGACCTCCTCCCTAGATGGGAGAAGGGTTTCCCCTCTGGTCCATGGCCTCCATGGCACGGGAGGGGCGAGAGCCCCTTCGAGATTGGATCTGTCTCTCCCTGTTTCTACGTTCTTAGATTCTTCCCTTTCACCGTTTCCTATATTCCCGGAGATCCGTAACTCCGATTGGGCTGAAATTTTGACACGATCTCTATCCGGAAATTAGCTTTCTTGCGGAGAAAGAAGGGCATGAACCGCCTTACGGGTGGCCCACGAGGGTCAGGGGCGCGCCTGGGGGGCAGGCGCGCCCTCCTGCCTCGTGGCCACCTCGGGCACGTCTCGCGTGGATTTTTCTTCCCAAAAATCATATATATTCCAAAACAAATCTCCGTCAGTTTTTATCCCATTTGGACTCCGTTTGATATGGATATTCTACGAAACAAAAAACATGCAACAAATAGGAACTGGCACTGGGCATTGGATCAATATGTTGGTCCCAAAAATAGTATAAAAGTTGCCAAAAAGTATATGAAAGTTGTAGAATATTGGCATTGAACAATCAAAAATTATAGATACGATGGAGACGTATCACTCGCCTCGAAGTTGGCCTTGAAGGTGGTGGTTGCAGCGGATTCAAGGTCCGGCCACCGGAGGAAGCGCGACATGGGATGGAGCGGATGGCGCCTCTGAGTATCCCGGGCTGCTACGCAACTCCCACCACTCTGGCGGCTCAGTGTCCACTAGGGGAGCATGAGCAAAGTGTGCGGCAGTGAGCACAACACAATCAGGCGGGCGACGTGCGATGTGTGCGATGAGTTCGGCGGCAGACGAGGACTCATGACTCCGACGTGGTCACCATCGTTGTCGCTCACCACGAAAGCGCATAACAAGTGTTCGACGAAATATACGAGAAAAATGTAAGTTTTACTCCCTTAAGTTCAGAGAATCGGTTAGAAAAAACACTTTTTAAAAGGAGAAAATGTACTCCTCTAAAGGATACTGAGTCGTTTACTCCTCCAAATTATAGGGGATGATTTAGAGTTGCTCTTATATATAGCATCATCTTCTAATATACAAAAGGGCCACTACTAGGGAAAAGCCTATACACAGAATCTTACCAGCAGCGCGCTTTAAAATCAGGCGCTGCTGCTAAGTAGCAGTAGCGCGGGCCATGAAAACTCGCTGCTGAAACAAATTTATCAGTAGCGCGTGCACTCCAAGAAGCGCTACTGCTAAAATTCCCACGACGCCGCCGCGAGGCCAGTTATAGCAGCAGCGCATTAAAATAAACAGCGCTACTGCTACGTAACGTAGCAGCAGCGCATTCAGGCAATAATCGCTACTGCTAAATTAACTACAAAAATCAATGAGCATTCAGCGCATTCAGCGTAACGTAGCAGCAGCGTATTTTTATGTCTATGTCTATTTTTACATACTAACACATAGCAGTAGCGCGTTCAGGCCGAAAGGCGCTACTGATAGGTAGTTTAGCAGTAGCGCGTTTACCTATAGCGCGCTACTGCTATTCCATTCCATCTCCCCCACTCACTAGCCTCATCCACAGATCACACTCACACACACTCACGGTCTCCTCCTCACCCCCCGCACCGCCGGTCCTCCCCCGTCGCCCCTCCCCCGATCTGCGCCGCTGTCGCCTAATCCTCCTTGCTGGACTCGGTACCGGCCTCCTCCTCCGTCCTCCCTCCACTCGCCACTGGCCGCCCCCTCCTCGCTCCGCCTTCCTCCTCGATCCGTCCTCCCTCCACTCGCCGCCGGCCGGCCCCTCCTCACTCCGCCTTCCTCCTCCGTCCTACTATCTTCTCCCTCCTTGAGTCGCCCCTCCTTGTCCCTCCTACCTGATACATTTTGATTTAGTAGGCTTTCATATGTAACATTTTGATTTAGTTGATATGATTCAGTTGATTTAGTAGGCTAGTTGATTTAGTTGATTTAGAACATTTTGATTTAGTTTATTTAGTAGGCTAGTTGATTTAGTTGATTTAGTAGGCTAGTTGATTTAGAACATTTTGATTTAGTTGATTTAGTATGCTTGATTTAGTTTTTTTGTAATAAGTTATTTTTTGGCAAAATGTAGGTGCCAATTTAGTTAAATTTGCCACTTGTTTCCTGTGAAGTGAATCGTTAATCCTTTGCTCATATTGCTTTAGGAAAATGGCGCCACCACCAGCACCACTATGTCGACTGTGCAAGTCAAGGTGCGCCAGCAGCCTTGCAAGTGGCAAGCTGTTCGGCATCTACTTCCATCCGAGTTTTTGTCATGCGGCGATAAGAAATTAGATGAAATGTAACAACTATTTTATTTTTAGTGTTGGCATTACTGCATTGTGTCATTTTGCTTTTCTTACACAGATCGTCCCATGCAATGTGAGGTTGAAATTCAACAAGCTGACAGGAGACACTGTGACATTTGAAGCTCCTGGGGAGCCATACACTATGGAGGTCGAGAAAGGACGCAATATGTCGTAGATTGGAGGAGATGGATGGGCCCGTTTCCTCACTCGCATGCGTCTTACTGGTGGTGAGTTGATCAGATTCTTCTTCAGAGCAGAAAGACCCAAGCTGGTTGTCATTTATATCAACCTGGTGGAAGATGATGAAGATGACGAAGATGATGAAGATAATAAGGACCCACTCAATGAAGATGATGAGAACCCACTTCATGAAGCCATCATAGCTCAAAGAATGAGGCTGAGCGAGGAGGAGGTGTGCAACCTATTGGACATAATTCCGCCACGTGATGACTTTGTCGGGGTGCCATTCGTGACCCGCCTGACAAGTACCATGGTCGATCGGCATGAAATGGTATGTTATACGTACTGCATGTAGCAATTTGATGATATATATATGCTTTATTGTTATACTTACAAATGAAAATTATCCAATTATATGCTTAGTGAATCCGATGATATGCTTAGTGTAGAGTCCAATGATATGCTTTGTGGAATCTAGTCGATGATATACTTTAGTGTAGAGTCTGATCACATGCTTATTAGTGTAGAATCCAAGGAACTATTAATAGTGTAGATAATCCATATATATAATTATTAGTAGAATTCATGATTAATTAGTACAAATGTGTAGTACTGTGTCTTTTGATAGTGTAGAAATCTAGACTTAATAGAAATATTTTTGCAAGAGTATGTGTGAGGCTATTTATTAATTGATATGTTTTCCTTATTCAGAGATTGCCAAAGAACCTATCTGTGAGTTGTGGTATCGAGCCTGATGAAGAAGGCTTAGTTGGACTACGCCTTATCACAAGGGGCTCCGTCACCACATGTACTTACCGCATGGGCACAGATGGTCGCACACACTTGAACTCGGTTGGGTGGAAGAGATTCCTCGTTGGCAAGAATCTTCGTGCTGGACAGGCCATCCTAATTACTATCAGGAACACCCACCGCCCAGGATTGAGGATGATGATCGTCGTCGATATTATCTAGAACTACATATGTGTGTGTGGCTATATCATCTAGAACTACATATGATGATCGTCGTCGATATCATGTAGAACTACATATGATGATCATCGTCGATATCATCTAGAACTAAATATGATGATTGTCGTCGATGTCACCTTGTACTTCTTGAGGATGCATGTTGAGTATATATGAAATTGTTATCTAGTACTCCCTCGGTTCCAAATTACTCATCGTGGTTTGAGTTCAAATTTGAACTAAAACCACGACGAGTAATTTCGAACCGATGGAGTACTACCTAGTACCTATAATGCTTTATGAAATTGATATCTAGTAGTACCTAGTATCTAGAAATTGCAGTTTATCGAAGCTGGAATGGAGAAATGGTGAAAGATATAACAGTAGCGCTGGACCGGGAAATCGCTACAGCTAAGTAATAGCAGCGCGTTCCTGAAAAGCGATGCTGCTATAGTCAATAGTGGTAGCGCGGGTACAGGCAGCGCTACTACTAAAAGTTAGCTGTAGCGTCTTATTGGTAGCGCGGGCACCCGCGCTGCTGCTAGCCTTTTCCCTAGTAGTGGGGATGCGTTAGAGTTGCTCTTATATACTTGAGATACAAAAATGGTAGACTTATAGGTGATATTAGCACATATGCCCGTGTGTTGCAACGGAACAATTTTTTTGATGTGTATATAAAATTAACCAAATATGCACTGCAAAATTCAATCAACTATATCGTTCAAGTAAGTATATATTTGAATTTCAAATGTTGCAATTTATAAATTATTATGGGTGGAACAACTCATGTGGATGTGCAGCTGGTCATCCAGTGTGTATATTATATATTCTTAGAAAAGAAAGTTAGCAAAAAAACACTGACCGTCCAGGGAGATGTGGATGTGGTTATAGCAGGAGCATGGGCTTCAAACATCAGAAAAGTTACAAGGCAACAGAAACCCCTCCGAGCAAGTTCAGCCAAAGCTAAGCAACATTTGTGCGAGGAACCATCACCCTTGGGTATACAAAATGCACAAGTTATTTAACTAAGTAATTCACTAACTAAGAAATGTTACAATTTGGAAAGCCGGAAGATGAAACTGTTAATATCTTCAAACAAACAAAGGACATTTTAAAGTTTACAACTCACAAAGGGACCTCGGTAAAAAGCTGCAAGATTGCTGATTAAAAACTTCTTCAGACAGAGGAATAAGTTTTTACTTTTAGCTTGAGGGCTACACACTTCGGGTAAATGAAAATATGAAGACTTCACGAAGTGTATCCCTGCAAGAAAAAGGACGTCGCCAGAAGTAAAAAGGCTGTAAGATTGATGATAAAAATTTCTTCAGACAGAGAGGAATAAGTATTTACTTTTAGCTTGAGGGCTACAAACTTCAGGTAAATGAAAATATGAAGAGTTCACAAAGTGTATCCCTGCACAAAAAATAATCACAAAGCGTCTTTCAGTATAAAAACTCCATCGAAGACTATAGTGCTACGCGCGACATCACATATTCAGATAGAACATAAATACTTCCCGAGAAAATATTTACTTTTTGCAAAGATTCAATCACTGTTGCAGATAATTTATCTGACAGGAAGAAAAAAAATGACTTTTTGAAGCATGTGCACACTTCATATGATAATGAAACTTAAGCGTACACCAATGCCCATGAAATTTACTTTATATGTTGTACTTGGCAACAATGGCAATAGAGCATCATCTTCTAGCAGAAACATTAAACCATGGCAGTCCAGACAAACAGCAGCGTCGCAATTGTATGCAAAGCGACATCTAGCAGCAGCCATATCTAGCAACAGTTCATTAAAAAATAGCAGTAGCAATCCCCACCGAGAGCTCCATTTGACCACTTTGTGCCTCTTCTCCACACATCACCATCGCTCCTTCTCCCTTGACCTTATCCACCAGCCAGCGCCGCTCATCCTCTTCTCCATCCAGCCTACGAGCTGCCTCGCTCCCAGCTTCTTCCAACCTACGGCCGGTCATGCTCCATCCCCATGCCACGATGTCCCCCCGTGTTCCAGCCACACCCATAGCTCCGTTCCTCTACCCCGACCATTGCCAGGGCGATTGCTGCCGCACGATCCCCGTGCTCCCCCCGCCCGCCCGTGTTCTAGCCACACCCATGGCTCCGTTCCTCTTCCCCGACCGCGGCAAGGGCGATAAACGCCGCCGATCCCGCCGGACTCCGTTACCGGAGCAACCACACCGGCCGTCCCTCCATCTCTCCTCT